GGTGGTGAAGAAAAGAGGTTTGCCCAAGTCTTATTGGGCTAAGGGGACATGGTGGCCCAAAAAGGCACAAAGAAGGAGAGAGAAGGGGTTTCGGGGAAGAAATCGCCGGCGGCTGACCGGCGATGTGGCCCGCCGGACTCCCGGTAGCGGTGGTGCGCCTCCGGTCGTCCCGGCGGCGCCCCACCACCGTGGCCAGTGAAGGCCACTGCCCATGGGTGGACCTCCCGCAGAGCAAGCGCAAGTCTAACCATCAGCCCACGCCATCACATGTGTACCAAGATGCGACAACATATATTTGTTCCTATAATCTCGGCCGGGCAGCCCGACCACCGGCCATGGCCGGCGCCGGGTCCCGCCGGCCACCTCAGGCCGAGGCGCGGCCAGCGGGGGCAGTGCGCCCCCCAGATTGTCAATGGCACCCCCCCTCCTTCCCGAGGGGGTGCTGGGCGGGTGCGCCGAGCATGGTGGACCGGGGTGGTATGCGCGGGAGTCCTGGAAGTATGGCGAACGTGCTCGCTTGCGTAGCGATAAATGGGGGAGTAGGGATGGATTGCATGGGACACGCGGACGCTAGAGGAGGAGGGGGCTTGCTATAAATAGGGGCTCGGGGTTCTCAACAAGGGGCAACTCAGACACGACAAGCACTACGGTCTAGTGGTCTTGATCTATACTTTCAACCCAGCTACCTGGGTTCGATTCCTACCAGTAGCATAGTTAGCTATAGCCCACCACGTGGGCCTTATTCTTTGTATTTGGGCCATCATTCTGGGCCTGTACCTCGGGCTTTGTATGTATTGTTTAGGGTCTAGCGCCCCGGGTAACAAAGTCAGTACTTTCATACCCCCGTCCTATGTTCCTATACCCGGTTTATGGTGGACCCGGTCCCAATAAAACCATCATTGGCACCGTCTGTGGGGATCGCTACGAATAGCCCGTGTTTGTAGTCTCTTCCATCCTAGCAAGGTTCCGAGGTATGCCCAAATGGTTGATTCGCAAGAGGAGCTACCCTATAAGGTAACACACTTAGCACATCGAAACGCTACTCTGGTGAGTACACTTGAACACTTAGTTAGGTAAAGATTGTGTTTATTTTCCCAAACTATGTGCCCCTATGTGCTCTTCATACGCATCGCTAACTTGCATAGCTTTACCACTTTACGTTACATCATGCGAATAATAATATCAGTACTCTTTTTCCGAATATGTGCTCCTACGTGCTCTGCATGCTTGGCCCACGGTCACCTCAACTATGTGCTCCTATGTGCTCTGCATGCTTGGCCCACGGCCACCTAAACTATGTGCTCCTATGTGCTCTGCATGCTTGGCCCACGACCACCTCAACTATGTGTTTCTATGTGCTATGAATGCTTGACCTACGGTCACCTCACTTATGTGCTCTTATGTGCGATGTATGCTGGTCCTACGGCCATGGCGGATGGGGCATGTGGGTTATCGCAACCCACATGCGCGGACTTGCCCCCGGCAAGCCGCATGCAGTTGGCGGATGGGGCATGTGGGTTATCGCAACCCACATGCGCGGACTTGCCCCTGGCAAGCCGCATGTAGTTGGCGAATGGAGCATGTGGGTTATCGCAACCCACATGCGCGGACTTGCCCCCGGCAAGCCGCATGCAGTTGGCGGATGGGGCATGTGGGTTATCGCAACCCACATGCGCGGACTTGCCCCCGGCAAGCCGCATGCAGTTGGCAGATGGGGCATGTGGGTTATCGCAACCCACATGCGCGGACTTGCCCCCGGCAAGCAGCATGTAGTTGGCGGATGGGGCATGTGGGTTATCGCAACCCACATGCGCGGACTTGCCCCCGGCAAGCCGCATGCAGTTGGCGGACGGGGCATGTGGGTTATCGCAACCCACATGCGCGGACTTGCCCCCGGCAAGCCGCATGCAGTTGGCGGCAAATTGCATGGCAAAAAAAAAAAAAAAAAAAAAGAGGAGAGTGCGAATATAAGTTAAAAAAAAAAAACAAAAAAAAAAAAGGTTGCATACAGGTGTAGCATGGAGAAGGAGCAAAGACATCCACGGAATATTTAAAAGAAGCATGCAGGTGCATCATGAGCATGCAGGTGCATCATGGAGAAATCGATAAAAGCATACTAAATAAATGCAACAAAGAGATGTACAATGCAAGAAGCATCCAAGAAGTGACAATAGAGGAGTCACCTTGGCCTCTCGACACTAGGTGATGAAGCGAAGGCCAGGGCAGCGTGCGGTGTGTGGCAGAGGTACGGAGTAATGGCGTGACGCACAACAATGGTGATAAGGGAAGGTGGCGGCAAGAGATTGAGAAAGGGAAAGAAAGGAGGTGGTGATACCGAATTCTACTTCCTTTAGGCATCAAGATACCTAAAAGAACTGGGGGACTTGTAATGAGGATATGGGACCCGGGGGTCCATTTTATTGGAAAGTATGGGGTGGTGAAGAAAAGAGGTTTGCCCAAGTCTTATTGGGCTAAGGGGACATGGTGGCCCAAAAAGGCACAAAGGAGGAGAGGGAAGGGGTTTCGGGGAAGAAATCGCCGGCGGCCGGCCGGCGATGTGGCCCGCCGGACTCCCGGCGGCGCCCCACCACCGTGGCCAGTGAAGGCCACTGGCCATGGGTAAAATGTAACAACCAGGGCACTATTGCCAGTAGGTTTCGAACACAGGACCTCCCACAGAGCAAGCACGAGTCTAACCATCAACCCACGCCATCACATGTGTATTAAGACGCGACAGCATATATTTGTTCCTATAATCTCGGCCGGGCAGCCCGACCACCGGCCAGCGACTGGCCGGTGCCGGGTCCCGCCGGCCACCTCAGGCCGAGGCGCGGCCAGCGGGGGCAGTGCGCCCCCTAGATTGTCAATGGCACCCCCCCCCCCTTCCCGAGGGGGTGCTGGGCGGGTGCGCCGAGCATGGTGGACTGGGGTGGTATGCGCGGGAGTCCTGGAAGTATGGCGAACGTGCCCGCTTGCGTAGCGATAAATGGGGGAGTGGGGATGGATTGCATGGGACACGCGGACGCTAGAGGAGGAGGGGGGCTTGCTATAAATAGGGGCTCGGGGTTCTCAACAAGGGGCAACTCAGACACGACAAGCACTACGGTCTAGTGGTCTTGATCTATACTTTCAACCCAGCTACCTGGGTTCGATTCCTACCAGTAGCATAGTTAGCTATAGCCCACCACGTGGGCCTTATTCTTTGTATTTGGGCCATCATTCTGGGCCTGTACCTCGGGCTTTGTACGTATTGTTTAGGGTCTAGCGCCCCGGGTAACAAAGTCAGTACTTTCATACCCCCGTCCTATGTTCCTATACCCGGTTTATGGTGGACCCGGTCCCAATAAAACCATCATGCTTATTGATTCTTTTC